GCAGAAGGCTCATGAGCGCCCCCTATGGAAAGCTCATGCCCTTACATCACAATCCTGGTAGGTTTCTGCTTGCTTGAAGCTTCAGATCTGTTTCCCAGAAAGCGAGACCCAGCTGGACAGCTCTACTTCCTGGCCAGCTTATCTGTTTTGAGACAGGGTTTCTGCTCCTTAGCCCAGACTTGTCTAGAACACCTGTTCTTCCTGCCCCTTCTCCTGGGTGCCTGAATTTCAGGACTGTGTCAACATGCCTAGTTCAGGGAGGGCTTTTAGATGCGTTTGTTTGTTTGTTTGTTTTTTGGGAGATGTGATCTCTTTAAATAGCCCTGGCTGTCCTAGAGCTCACTCTGTAGACCAGGCTGGCCTCGAATTCACAGAGATCTGCCTGCTTCTGCCTCCTGAGTGCTGGATTAAATGTGTGTGTGCCACCATGCCTGTCTACTTGTTTAATTAACTGCAGTGAGTATATATGGATGTTTTGTTCGCATTTATATCTGTGCACCATGTAAATGCCTGGTGCCTACGGAGGCTGGAGAGCCTCTGGAACTGTAATTACAGACAACTGTGAGCCACTGTTCATGCTGGGAACTGAGCCCAGTCTTAACCACTGAGCCGTCCATCTCTCCAGCACCCCTGCCCCAACACACGCACTTTGATTCTTAGCAGGTTAAGCAGGTTTCGAAAGGAGCAAGTTCTGCTGTGGGGGACTGCATCGAGACTCCAGACACCCTATTGGTCACATGTTGACCCCTGAGGCCTCCCAAAGCGTCCCCACAGGGTGTTGCTGGCAGGGTCTTCTTGGGGCACCTCTCCCTCCTGACCCCCATCTCAGTGTCTCTTTTGGTCTCTGTGTGGGAGAGATTCTCAGTCTTGGCCTGTGAGCCGATCCTACCCTTTTCCTTGCCACAGACACCCAGATGAGAGTCCCTTCTCACCGAGTTCCCAGCTCCTTAGGTGTTCAGCAGAGGGGCAGGCCTGTTCCCAGTCTATATGACCCTTGGGAAGGCGCCTCAGCTCTCTGAGCCCCACATGCACAGTGCTGCTGTTATGGGGAGCCCACCAGAGATGACCTCTCACTCCGTTTACAGCCAGCCAAGAGTCTTATTCCTGTCAACTGGGGTGTTCCTGTCAGCTCAAGTAGTCGGGACCCAAGTGCAGTGCCAAGTGTTTAGAGTAAGGGGTTTTTAAAGCAAAAACCACATCCTGGTATCTTGCCCTTCAGCTGCAGGGGGAGTTTTGCACAAACAAGTTGTTTAACAGAAGCTAAGATAAGCTAGCTGGGGCATCGTGGTCTCAGGTCCCAGGATAGAGCTGGGTAATTTTCCAGAGGCTTCCCACCAAGAAGATCAAATTCTAGTTAAGCCTAAAATGACCTCAGCAAGATTCCAACATGGAGGAACCTCTGTACTGTCTTGACCTGTCACAGTGTTAGGGATAGAGTCCCACACATGCTAGGTACGTGATCTGTGCCTGACTCTCTGCATACTTAGAGTAAAGCCAGTAGTGATGTCCGCATGAGCATTGAGGAGGGCGTTGTCCACGAGCAGCGAGGCTAGGCTGCGGTACATGTTCAGTAAAACCTCTCTCTTCCTTAAAACCAAAATGTGGTCAGTGGCCTGTTGTAAGACAAGGACCCTCCCTGGGTTGGACTTCTCGGATCTTGGGTGAGTTATCTGAAAATTCCATGCCTCAGTTTCCCCACCCGTAAAAGAAACTGAACCTTTCTAGAATGGTTGCTCTTGCAGTCTCTGGTGTGTGCTGGGGAGGTGTGTGTGTGTGTGTGTGTGTGTGTGTGTGTGTGTGTGTGTGGGAATGAGCAAAGTGCTGAGTCATGACCTTGATCATCAGAGATGAGGACCTGGATCCTGATGCTATGAGGGTGTTGCTTTCGTTTGCTTGGGCTTCTGTGACAAAATACCACAGGCAGATTGATCCACACAGAGCAGGGATGTGCTGTCCTGAGGTTCTGGAGGCTGCGAAGGAAGGACAGAGACCTTCGTGCTGGGTTGTGCTCTCTTGGCCTTTAGAGGCCATCTTCCCTCTGGACTGTCTGACCTGTGTCCCTCTTTCCTCTTCATGTGAGGACACTGCTCATACTAGATTGGGGGCGACCCTAGTGGCCTAATTTTAAAGATTTTCTTTTCAAATATGATCATACTCAGACTAAGTAGGAAAACGTGTTTTAAAATCACCAGTTGGGGCTGGGCAGTGGTGGCACACACTTTAATCCCAGCATTCGGTGGGTAGAAGCAGGCAGATCTCTGTTGAGTTCAAGGCCAACCTGAACTACAGAGTGAGCCCTGGGATCCAAAGTTACAGAGAAACCCTGTCTGGAAACAAACAACAAACAAACAAAAATAACCTGTGGATGGGGAGGGAGGGGGACACAACCCAGCACAAAGCCAGTCGGGGAGGTGGTCTGTCGCAGCAATTTTTGGGGAGTGCGAGAGAAATATTGGGGTGTGGGGAGGAGAGGAAGGAAATGAGACATTCTAGGAAGCCGAGTGGAGCAGGTCTGAGGGTGCCTCCTATAGAACTTACTGGGGTTCCCTCCCCTCACCCGAGCCTCAGAGAAAGCTGGAGACCTGCCACATGTCCTGAGGAGGCTCGTGGCTTCCTTTGGGGACACGGAGCAGATGGGACCTGGTGTCTCTGCACACAGGCAAGCAGCAGAGCTGCTGAGTCAGAGCAGCCCTGGGGGTCAGAGGCGGGGACGGGCAGATGGCCGCCTCCAGAAAACAGGAGGACATTGGCAGCAGAACCACACCTGCCTGAGACACGGCGGTCACAGCCCAGGACTGGAGCCTGGAGCGCCACACTATGGCCATGTCAGAGTCCCTCAGCTATCCCAGGTTAGACCAGCTGGGTGAAAGCCAGGACTCAGAGGACATCAGCCTGGTAGAGCCACACTCATGCAGGGTCAGCAGGCTACTGCCAAGCTGCCAAATCTAGCCCTCTGCTTGCTTTCACTTCTGATCTGTTTACTTTTCTTAGATGATTTATTGTGAGGGCGTGCTGCAGAGGTCAGAGGACGCTTGTGAGGGTTCAGTCTCTCCTTCCACCATGGGGATCGAAACTCAGATGGTCAGGCTTGGCACCAAGCACCTTTACCTACTCAGCTATCTCCCTGGCCCCGTATTTCATTTTCTCTCTGCTTCAGTCTTTATTATTTCCTTCCTTCTGTGGCCTTGGGTTTATTTCTTCCTGTTTGCTAATTCCTAAGAAGTGAAGATAAGTTGTCGTTGCAGTCTTCCGCCTTTAAGCATTGCCTCAGCACTGTTCTCTTGCACCTAGTAGGCCTCGTATCTAGGATGTCTTGTACCTAGTAGGTCTCACATCTAGTATGTCTTACACCTAGTAGATCTCGCATCTAGTATGTCTTGCACCTAGTAGGTCTCGCATCTAGTATGTCTTACACCTAGTAGGTCTCGCATCTAGTATGTCTTACACCTAGTAGGGCTCGCATCTAGGATGTCTTACACCTAGTAGGTCTCACATCTAATATGTCTTACACCTAGTAGGTCTCGCATCTAGTATGTCTTACACCTAGTAGGTCTCGCATCTAGTAGACCTCAGCACATTGTATCTGTTCACATTTATCTCAAGATGTTCTTCTCTGTCTCCTGGGACTTCTTTGACTGGCAAATGAGCTCTTACATTTCTGCCCGTTTGTGGATTTTCCTGTTTGCCCCTCTGCTTTTGACTCCCAGTTTCCTCCCACGGTGCTAATGAAAGATGACTGAAGGCGTGGCTCAGTGGTATAGTGCTTGCCTGGCATGTGTGAAGCCCTGGGTTCACGTCTGTAAAGCAGGGGTTCAGGCTGAGAATAGGTCCTGTGAGGCCCAGCTGTTGCCGCTGTTCTCAGAGCCAGTCATTCACTGTTGCTGACACAGGGGGACGGGCTGTGGCTGCCCTGCTGCCTCTGAGCACTTAGTGACGTGTGACCGAGGGCTCTGTCATCCTGTGTGCACCTCCAGGAAGCAAGCTGCAGGAAAAGACAGGGGCTCCAGGGGCTGACCTGAAAGAAAACAAATGTGGACTCGCTGGGGGAAGAAGGCGGGGTCCAGAACGTGGCTTCCTTTGTCCTATATTAGAGGTCCTGTGGCAGATTTCTGGAACAGGCCTTTGAATCACCTTTTGACCTCAGACTCAAGGTGGGGAAACTGAGGCCCAGGAGAAAGGCTTTGTTTGAATCCCATAATGCCTCCAGACATAATGGGATGCAAGTTTGAGTAAAGCCAGAGGACGTTCAAGCCCCAGAGGTCACTACTTTTCTGAGGCCAGCTGTCCTTTCCCAAAGAAACCTGTGTGTATCCTGGAGTCACATCCTGGAGTCACTGAGCAGTGTATGACAGGGACTCAGTGTCGTGAGGATAGGCCCTAGCCTGTAACGGGGACCCCAGCTGGTAGTCCATCTTCATCTATTTCCTCCCTCTCTCCCTGGCAGGTGGACTCCCATGAGCCTCTATTTCTCAAAGTTCACCCACAAACCTGTTGGATCCCCATGCTTCCAGAATTCCATAATTGACTGTCACCATGGTGCCCCCTTAATTCCTTTACCTTCCAACTCACTTACCACTGCATCCAAGGGATCTTTGTCGAGCACCTAATATACAGTGTGGATAAGGCAAAGGGCAAGGCAGGGGACTTGTATTCTGGAGAGGAGATGCAGGTAGGACACCATAGGAATCAGAGCAGGAATGGTACCAAGTCCTTGGAAGGATCTGTGTTGGATGTCGCACAGGGGCAGTTCTGGGAACTGTGGGTAGGGGAGGGCACTTTGTGTGACATCTGAGAAAGGTGGCAAGCCTCCGTGCAAGTGAAGTGAAATGGGCAGCTTGCAACCTTGAGCCTCAGATCTGCCAGAAACCAAGAGACTGTGGAAGGAAAAGAGATTGCTCAAACACCCCAGACAGCCTGTGGACACGCTGGAGGTACAGCATGGGCCCTGGGGCACAGCACCCCATCTGATCAGTCTCTCCCACCCCCTGTGCATCCTGCAGGTGAAGCAGATCATGGAGGAGGCCGTTACCCGAAAGTTTGTTCACGAGGACAGCAGCCACATCATCTCCTTCTGTGGTGAGTGGTGTCCGCGGTGGCGGCCTCGGAAGCGGCAGCAGTGGGGAGCGGCTTCCTGGGTGGGCTGCGGCCGGCCCGGGCGATGCACCTGGGAGCCAGCTCTTGCTTCATGTTGAGCTTTGTGACTCTGAAGCTTCACTCTGCGGGTGGAAGTAGGTTTGGAAATGCAGTGGGAGAAGGGTTGAGGATGCCTCCTGTGTCCCATGGAGGGCCCAGTAGGTCTTGCCCCACATTGACTCATCCCCTTGAGGCATTAGTGATGGCCTCAGTCATCTCCCTCTGGGTAAAGGATGGAGAGAATGGGAACTGTCTTAAAGGAGTGATGAGGGCTGGGGCGCAGCTCAGTTGGCAGGGTGCTTGGCTCAGATGCACAAAGCCCTGGATTCCATCCCCAGCAACACATAGTATGCATGTCGCCACACACTTGTACCCCCACACTCCAGTGGTGGAAGAAGAAGAACCAGAAGTTTAAGGTCATTCTCAACTATGTATTGGTTCCAGGCCAGCCTGGGCTAAAGAAGACCCTGTAATAGGTAGTTGGGTATGGGGAGTTAGCAGCCACTGAGGTATCTTGAGACTCATATTTAGCAGACTGAGCCTGGGAGGTCTGAAGTGTGACTCAGACCCCACTGTAGGCCATCACCGCTCAGGAGGAGCCAGGTTCTCTGTGCCTGAGGTCAGCTCCAGCTCATGATGGGGTGGCCGTTTTGAAGCGGAACCTCTTGTCTTTTCTCCTTGGAACTTTAGTAAGTGGAATGTCTCATTGGAAGTGCACAGTGGGGTCCCTTCCTATGATCATGGCCTTGTGAAGATACCCGAGCAAGGATATGTAGCCAGCCTGCCCAGGTCTATCCACAAGCTGGGAATCACCAGTGGGACTGATTGTGTGTGGAGCAGAACCTCACCACTTTGTAGCAGACAGACTGAGTTCAAATTTCACCTTTGCCTCTTCCTGTTGAGTGTATGTCCTGGTTTGCTTTAAAATGCTATGATAAACACCAGAATCAACAGTAGCTTGTGGGAGGGTGTGTTTCCACTTACACTTCTAGGTCACAGTCCATCACAGAGGGACGCCAGGGGGTTGCAGGGGTTGCCACCCAGAACAGAAATAAACACACAAAAATTGTATTAATTAAATCAAAAATTATTCTTGTCTATGTTAGCCATGTGGCTTGGTACCCTTTTTGGTGAGACAGTCACATCTTGATTGCTCTGTGGCTGGTTCATGACTGCAGAAAGAACTTTCCTCTTCCCAGAATTCTCCTGTTCTCATCACCCTGCCTCTACTTCCTGCCTGGTTGTCCCGCCTATACTTCCTGCCTGGCTATTGACCAATCAGCGTTCTATTAAATACAATTGACAGGGTATAAACCATTGCCCCACAGTACTTCTCCCTCTTTTTTTAAAAAAAAATACAAGAACTCTGAATCTAATATCCTTTGTTTAACTTTTCTCCTTACCATTATTCATAACAACTTGTAACCAACATTCTAAACAAAGGAAAATATCCATTGTCCATTTTTTGGGAATGTGGGTGTAGTTTTCCAGGCTGCTTCCTGCTGGTTGGGGGCACTGATAATCTTATGGGGAACTGAAGAAAATTTAGAATTATGATCAAGTCGTGACTGGAGTATCCTGTGAGGCCTGATTATCTCAGGCAGCGTCTTAAATCTGTTCTGGATGTAGAACTGAGACATCTGTGTCATCTGTTCCTACTGGAGATTTGTAGATGATATTCCTTGATCAAACCTGATTTTTCTTAACTCAGAATGAATCCACAGTCCCTCATTTCCTGTGGAAGCAAAAGCAAAACCTCTTCTCCAAATTAACATACCTTTTGACTTCAATTTTGAAGTCAAGGTATTTTTAAAATACCTATCTTGGATTAATTCAGCAGCATTTATAAACAAATATCTTTTAACAACTGCTGCTCCTTCCTCAGCATTCAAACAATTCAAAGAGAGCATAATAGCATACAGTATCCAGACTGTCTGTTTTCCATCATTATATGGCTTTATTTTAAACTCTATTTATTTTATTTTATTTTTAATTTTTTGACTTTTTGAGACAGGGTTTCTCTGTGTATCTCTGGCTGTCCTGGAACTCACTCTATAGACCAGGTTGTCCTTGATCCACCTGCCTCTGCCTCCCAAGTGCTGGGATTAAAGGTGTGTGCCACCACACCCAACTACTCCTTTTCTTTCTTTTTTATTTTAAGAACTTTAACCTTTTTCCTTTCTCTCCAAAGCCTGCATATATTTTTAACACACTGTAAACCATTTAGAAGTTTTCTTTGTCTTTGAATCTCACTTTACTGTATATCTCTCTTTTTCTGACCACATGAATCTTTAATTTGCTAAGCAATATGGCTAAGATTAAAGCCATGACTTTGCTGGCTGAATCCAGCCCATTCCTTAGATTTCTGAGATTTCAGCTTCATGGCAAAGGTACCAACTGGAGCCATGTTTATTGCCACAACTCTATGGCATTCCAAGGTCCCTGCCACCACCAAAAAGCATCAATACCATTTACATGTTTCTTGGCAGAACCTCTTTAAAAGACCTGCAAGGTTTTACAGCTAAAGCTGAGTCAGGAAGCCTCTCTTAAATGAGAGCACTTGCCTCTAGCAAGCAGAGCCCACCTGAGAAAATGCTGCTATTAAGAAGCCGTGTTTAACTCTATTCTTTTTTATCTAGAATAACTTCCTAAGCTCTCTCAGGCTTTTAAGTAGATTTGGTCAGCCCCATGTTGGCACGCCATTCTGTTGACTGAGATTGTCCCACAGCATCAGGGCAGGAACCTGGGCACAGAGACCAAAGCAGAAGCCATGGAGGGGTGCTACTCACTGGCTTGCTCCCCATGACTTGCTCAGTCTGCTTTCTTATAGAACTGGTGACCACCAGCCCACTCATAGTAGGTTGGGCCCTCCAACACCTATAACTAATCAAGGAAATGCCCTATGGACTTCCCTGTAGGCCAGTCTGATAGAGGCATTCTTTTAGTAGAGCTCTTTCTTCCCAGAGGACTCTAGCCTGTATCCAGCTGACAAACACCAACCCAAGGAGTGACCTCGGGCAAGTTCTCCTATTCATTTTTCTTTTTTTATTTTGAGTGTGTGTGTGGTGTATGCATGTGTTCACATGTTTTCATGTGTGTGAACCAGGGATTGACATGGGGTGCCTTCCTTAGTTACTCTCCACCCAATTGCTTTTGGGACAGGGTCTCTTGCTGAGCCAAAATGTCATCATTTTGGATCAACTGGCTGGCCAACAAGGACGTCATGTGCAAAGTAGAGTGTGTTGATTTAAACATATATGTGAACACTTGTGTATGTGTAGATTGTAATATTTTATTTATATAAAATGTATTTTTGTATTGTATATGCTTATGACAGCTCTTACTTTTTTCTGAGGATAAAATGACATGTTAAGACTTGCTGACACAGCTGTCGGTTAAGCTACAGGGGAATAAAATGCAGTTAGGAATGTCATAGCCAGCCAGACCTGGTGGTACAGGCCTATCATCTCAGCTCTCAGAAGGCTGCGGTGAGATGGTCCAAAAGTTCAAGGCCAGTCCAGGCAGCTTCGTCTTAGAGATTTTTCTTTGGTGACAAAATGCCATGACCAAGGCAACTTAGAGAAGAAAGCGTTTAATGGAGACTTACAAGTTCAGAGGGCGAGTCCATAGCCATCCTGCTGGGAAGCGTGGCACTGGGCAGGCATGGCTCTGGAGCAGTAACTGAGAGATTACACTCTCTGATCCACAAATATGAGATAGAGAGGGGACGGGGGCTGACTGGGAATGGCATGGGCTTTTGAAACCTCAAAATTTGCCCTAAATTATACACCTTCTCCAACAAGCCCACACCTCCCAATCCTTCTCAAATTGTTCCACCAACTGGGGACCAAGTATTCAAACATATGAGCCTATTAGGGGCATTCTCATTTAAATCATCACACTCTGTCTCAAAGCAGAATTGTAAAGGGCTCCATCCCCAGCCCCTTGAACCCAATCCCAGCATTCAGGAGACAGGGACAGAAGCAGTGGATCATTGTGAGATTGAGGCCAGCCTGATCTACATAAAGAGTTCCAGGCTAGCTATAGCCACATAGTGAGACCTTGGCTTAAAAATAATAAGGAGAATGTCAGACTGAAGCTATTTGCGGGTGGGAGAAACTGAAAGACATTAAATGCAGTATAAAGGACTCGAGAAGCATTTTTCTCATTCTCTGTTCTTTGGGGACCATTGTCAGAAAGACCTAAACAGACACATGCAAACCCCAGGAGCCGATCAACCAATCCTAGAGGACTGTACAGGTCAGCTAAAAGCCAGATTTTATGGAAGCCCCAGGGAGCCCTGCCCAGAATGAACATCTGCATGGACAGATAGAACTATCAAGCAGTCCTTCAAAATGAAAGGACTGCAACACGAAATGAAGGAACCCAGTGACAAAAAATAGCAACAGGTAGCCAAGTCCCTAGTGTCTCTCTGTATGTGTATGTGTATGCTCTGCCGAATGCCGGTTGGCTCACCGTTTCAGGGTGTGCTCACGAGAGCTCTTGCTGCATGGTTTTGTTGCAGGTACAGGACAAGGTCAGTTATAACAGTTGTTTACTACCTAGCAAGGGGGAGATCTTATTGTATATTCACTTGTCAGTGAGCATTAAGTATGCGCCTAATGCATACCGGTGGAAGATAGAAATGCATGGAGTAGGTTGGGGCATCAGAATGCCCTGCACAGAACCATTTCCCAGAAGAGCTCACGTAAGTCCAGAGTGGGGAGATAATTTGCCAGAGCTCACACAGCAAGTTAACCATAGAGCTGAGAATAGAGTCCAGCTGTCCTGTCCTGAAAGAGAGCCAGGCAGGCTGCCCAGGGGAAGCAGAAGTCGGAGGCTGCCTTTGTACAAGCAGGAGGGACAGACACACACCTTGACTTCAGGCTTGCGTTCGAATCCTGTCCCCATACCTTGTCCTTACTTCAGTTGGCCTCTCTGAGCCACAGTGTCCACACTGAAAAGCAGAAACAGTTTTCTGCTTGGCCATGACAGATATTAAACAAGATGTATAAATTGACTATGATGTAGTCACAGTGATGGCAATGACATAATGATGGTGGTGATGATGGTGGTGATAACGATGGTGGAGGTGATGATGATAATGACGGACAATGATGGTGGTTGTGTGGTGATGCTGGTGGTGGTGATGATGGTGGTGGTGATGCTGGTGGTGGTGATGGTGGTGATGGTGGTGATGATGATGGTGATTGATGGTGGTGATAGTGGTGATGATGATAGTGATGATGCTGCTGGTGGTGATGATAATGACGGACAATGATGGTGGTTGTGTGATGATGCTGGTGGTGGTGATGATGATGGTGGTGGTGATGCTGGTGGTGGTGATGATGGTGGTGATGATGGTGGTGGTGATGATGGTGATGACGGACAATGATGGTGGTTGTGTGGTGATGATGGTGGTGATAGATGATACTGGTGCTGATAATTGTTGTCTGAGGGTGTCAGTTGCTGTGATAAAACACCATAGCCAAAAGCAGCTTTGGAAGTTCCATTTATACTCCCATCACTGATGGAAGTCAGGACAGGAACTCAGACAGGGCAGGAGCCAGGAAGCAGGAGCCGATGAAGAGGCCATGGAGGGATGTTGCTACTGGCTTGCTCGGCCTGCTTTCTTATAGAACCCAGGACCACCAGCCCAGGGATGGCCCCACCCACAATGGTCTGGGCCTCCCACATCAATCACTGATTAAGAAAATTCCCTTATTTTCAGCCTGACCTTGTGGAGACATTTTCTCAGTTGAGGTTCCCTCTTGGCAGATGACTACAGCTTGTGTAAATGACATAAAATCTAGACAAGGCAATGGTGATGATGATGATGACGATGGTGTGGATGGTGGTGTTGGCCGTGGTGGCGACAATGGTG